AAAAAAAAAAAAAAAAAAAAAGATACCTTGCATTTATTAATATATATAGAATTGTTTCTTAGGCTCTGTTTTGTAATCTCATTTCAAACTAGACAATCTGGTTAGTCCCAGAAATGCCCATGTGTGCTTCCTGAGAGACTATATTTAAGAACATAAAATTCTAGCCAGCATTGTGGCAGGTGCCTATAGTCCCAGCTACTAGGGAGGCTGAGGCAAGAGAATGGCTTGAGCCCAAGAGTTGAGGTTGCTTGAGGGTGCTGTGAGCAATGACACCATAGCACTCTACTGAAAGCAACAAAGTGAGACTCTGTCTCAAAAAAAAAAACAAACCATAAAATTCCTCTGAGTTGTAGATAATTATAAGATTCCAGAAAAGGCCAGATGTGATGGCTCACACCTGTAATTCTAACATTCTGGGAGACTGAGATAGGAGGATCACTTGAGCTCAGAAGTTTGAGACCAGCCTGAGCAAAAGTAAGACCTTGTCTCTACTAAAAATAGAACAGTTTAGCTGGTTTTATGGTGGTGCGTGCTTGTAGTCCCAGCTACTTGGGAGGATGAGGCAGGAGGATTGCTTGAGCCCAGGAATTTGACGTTGCAGTAAGCTATGATGACACCACTGCACTCTAGCCAGGGTGACAGAGTGAGACTCTGTCTTAAAAAAATTCCAGAAAATTAATTAACCTTTTTGTTCTTTCCAGCCAAGATGAAATTGCTACCATTCTATCTAAAGTGCCACTGGAGGACAACTACCTGAAAAATGTAGTCAAGCAAATTTACCAAGATCTGCTTCAGGACTGCCATTTCTTCCACTAGACCCATGGACCACAGCTGTAACAACCAAGCAGAATATGCTTAATCATGTTATGTCAGGGTCTCCATTGCTCTGTAACCATTTTTTAGGACATAGAAGCCCTAGTAAAATTCCTTCTGATGATGTTAATAGTTATTTTTTATGGTTATTTTTTAAATCTCTACAGTCAGGAATGAGAAAAGGCCTCAAGTAGCCTGTTAACAACTTGTGCATCTTTGTACCATAGGTTTAAGTAGTAAAACACTTAGGGAAAATTTCCCCTAACTACATAGTACTCTCTGAAGAAACCCTAAGGAGTAACTTTTATATATAAGAAAAGGTGTTACCAATGACAAAAACATTAGCCATTTCTCTATATATAGAACTTTAGCCTTTAGGTAGCCTGGAATCTGCCCCGCAGATATTTCTGGAGTAAGACATGACTACCTAAAAGCAATAGCACTTAGCTATTGGAATGTTTGCCATCTTTTCTTGAGTGCCTTGCCTTTTATTCTATAAAGGCCTCTTATTATAAAAACATCCAATAATGTTTGCTTAATAAGTATAATTCTTCTAGGGACAGTTAATTCATTTTGGTCCAGTACATATATGTAAATATATTAATGTTACTTTTTGTGTTTGTGGTGTAATAAGGAGATGTATATAGAAATTCATACAGATATAGGGAGAGATAACCTTCTGCCTAGGCAGTTTATGCCTTTCTGAAGGATACTTGGCAGCATGATTCTCAATCTTCTTTTATTAAATATTGATACTTCAAACAATATCGCATCCAAAACACTATCAGATTTTGGCAGTAATAATAAACTTGCTATAAGTATTGGCTCTTGAAGCCACACCTCTCATATATAAAAATAATATCTACTGCTTATTAAATGATCATTATTATCTATGAGGTAGGCAAGTATAAAAAAACTTACTCAAACATTAGTCAAATGCTAATTAAATTCTGTTTTATATTTAATTCTAAACTAAAATATATTTGCATTTTTAAACTAATTTGTCTTAAAATTTTGCTTTACTATTAGGATCGGAACAAAGTCCTGTAGGTACCATGAATGTTATCTTCCTTCTTGATTAGTTTTTCCTTCTGCGCTATACATCAAAAGATCACATAGTTTTTAAAACCTTCAAAAGTCAACACAAAACTCATTTGCCATAAAAATCAAGATGTAACTGTTCTCTATTTCCATAAACTTCTTGGGAAAACTTTAAAGTCGTTAGGATGGTCTATTTTTATGAAACTTAAGTTACCTTTCTTATTAGAGCTGTTTTCTTTCTTTTGTATAAGTCTAAAAAGTAGAAGTTTTATTTTATGCATTGTAATCAGGAACTGCCAGCTCCAAAAATAATTTGTCTTATGATGATGGTCTCTGGTTTCTGTAATATTAGTACATAATTATAATATTTACCTAGCTATTTGTGTTTTTCTTTGTGCACAGAATTGGCTATTTTCATAATTTGTTAGAAGGTTTGCTTTTACTAACTGGAAAATAGATTATTTTTTACACTATTAAAATTACCTTAATACTTAAAATCTTATGTAAGTAGCATTTCTACATAAAGTGAAGATTGTCCAGTAGAACTTTAAAAATATACCAAAGAATCCTCCCTCTAGGTACACTTATGTATTTAAAAACTAAGACAACATTAGAATATGTCAGGACCAGCTAGGCCCCTATGGCTCAAATGGCTAAGGCACCAGCCACATACACCTAAGGTGGCGGGTTCGAATCCAGCCCTGGCCCACCAAACAACAATGACGGCTGCAACCAAAAAATAGCCGGGCATTGTGGCAGGTGCCTGTGGTCCCAGCTACTTGGGAGGCTGAGGCAGGAGACTTGCTTGAGCCCAGGAGTTGGAGGTTGCTATGAGCTGTGATGCCACGGCACTCTACCCAGGGGGACAGCTTGAGGTTCTGTCTCAAAAAAATAAAATAAAATAAAATATGTCAGGACCTTAATGTAAGAACCAGAAACAAACCACAGTTAGCCCTGTGTCTCTGAAGAACAGTAAAATAAAACTATTGGGTTCCTTGGGAAACTATCAGTTCTCTGAGCTAATCCAGTGGTTCTCAAAGTGTAGCCCCAGATTAGCAGCATCAGCCATACCCCAAACCTACTAAATCAAAAACCCTGAGGTAAGGATCAGCATTAGCAAATTATGGGTCTTTTTTCCATACTCTCTTTTTCTTTATCAGCTTTATTGAAGTATGATCCATTCATAAAAGTCATCATTTAAAGTATAAAATGGAGGGCAGCGCCTGTGGCTCTAAGGAGTAGGGCACCAGCCCCATATGCCAGATCCAGCCAAAAACTGCCAAAAAAAAGAAAAATAAGCATTATACAATACAATAAAAAATTAAATTAAAAAAAAGTATAAAATGGAATGGTTTTTTAGTATATTTATAGTTAATATACAATAATCACCACAATCAATTTTAAAATATTTTCATCACCTAGAAAAACATTGTAAATTATGTATTTTCCAACAATTTTTGAAAATATATCCTTTAGGTATTATCCCATCTTCATATCATTTCCCACTGTGACATTTCTTTTTTTTTTTAATATAGCATAACTTTGTACATTAATGCAATCATGGGGTACAGTGTGCTGTTTTCATATACATCTTGAAATACTCTCATCAAACTGGTTAACATAACCTTCATGTCATTTTCTTAGTTATTGAGTTAAAATATTCATACTCTGCATTTTTTTACCCTTGTAAAAAAATATGGAACGATTCACGAATTTGCATGTCATCCTTGCACAGGGGCCATGCTAATTTCTGTATCGTTCCAATTTTAGTGTATGTGCTGCCGAAGCGAGCACCACTGTGACATTTCTTAAAGTTACTAGTAATCTACTTCCTGTCTCTCCTATAGGAAGTTCTGTTTATTCTATTTTGAACATTTCACATAAATGGAATAGTATGTGTTCTTTTGTTACTGGCTTCTTTCATTTAGCATCATGTTTTCAAGATTTCTTCATGTTAATAGTATATATCAGTATTTCATTCCTTTTTATAACCCAATAATATTTCGTTGTATAGATATACCACATTTGTTTGTCCATGATTAGGGCAATTAAGCAAGAAAGAGAAATAAAAGTTATCCAGACTGGAAAGGAAAAAGTAAAACTATTTGCAAATGATATGATCCTGTACTATATATATATATAATCCTAAGGAATCCACTAAAAACCTATCAAAACTATTAAATGTTGTAATTCAAGTACTCCAGGAGGCTGAGGCAGAATTACTTGAGCTCAGCAGTTAGAGACTGGCCTGAGCAAGAGGAGACCCGTCTACTTTTCTACTTTTTCTAAAAGTAGAAAAATTAGCTGCTCAGCGCCTATAGCTCAACCGGCTAAGGCGCCAGCCACGTACACCTAAGGTGGCAGGCTCGAATCCCCAGCCCGGACCCGCCAAACAACAATGACGGCTGCAACCAAAAAATTGCCGGGCGTTGTGGCAGGCGCCTGTGGTCCTAGCTACTTGGGAGGCGGAGGCAGGAGACTCGCTTGAGCCCAGGCGTATGAGGTTGCTGTGAGCTAGGCTGACACCACAGCACTCTATTCTGGGTGACAGAGTGAGACTGTCTCAAAATGAAAAGAAAAAATATAATTTCCTTACAATCCATTGTTGGAACCATGTTACAAAATTCAATTTTAGAATGACCACTCAAAGCTGTCAAAAAGCCACAAAATTCCCCCAAAATGATAGTCTTTGAGTGAAAGCAGTGTTCACCCCACAAGCAAAGGACTGAAAAAGAACCGTCTCTAAAAGCAACTGAGCTGCTCTCTTGTGAAGATGGGGAGAAGAGACCACCTGCCACATTCTGGATTGTCTTGCTCAGAGAAAGCAAGAGTGACAGCATGGGACATCAGTATTGGAAAAGCTAAGAAGGGAGAGAGGCCCGCACAAAAAAACAGGTGCAAGGGAGAGCAGAGACCCAAGGGTAGAATCCTACATGTGGACTTCCTGGGGTGCTGCCAGTGGATCACTGCCACCCCACATCCCTACCCCTAGGGCGGAGGGAGCAGAGTGAGACAAGGGGGAGCTTGAGATTCACCCGATTGTTGGGTGCTCAAACACTAGCCCTAAGGGCTGAGGGCCAGAGGGAGTGCAGTCTGGCCTGTGACCTACCTGTTCGGGGACAGACAGCCAACTTGCGGTTAGGTGCTTCTCTTCTGGAATACAAGCAGGTCTGGGCACCGAGTCACAGGAGCAGGCAACAAGATGCCTATCAAATATTAGTGGCCTCTAACCCCATCGTGGGTGGGGGGTCTACTATCCCACGACTCTGAATTTGATGAAGACCAGTGAGGGTCCAGAGTGGTATGGATTTTTGAGGATCAGCTGTGCAACCCTCTTCAGCTCCACTTTCTAGCCACAGGTAGCCATCTTTGGGCAGAGGTCGCAGCTCTGCCAAACAGATTTAGGGAGGTTCTGCCCTTACAGACCACTTTTTAACCTGTACTCACAAACAGTCACGGAGGCATGGCCCCCTCCTCAATGATAGAAGTCGCGCAATTTCCCAGATCTAGGTTGCAGCGCACTTGATCGGCAGCCTAGGCCTCTGGCATAAAGCACTGCTTACTGGGGCACCCACCCTACCCACAAAGCAATAGCACTCAGAATAGGAAAACCAGTTTTGACTCCTTGACAGCCGGTCCCAAGACAGCGTGAAATTCGATTTCCAACCTTGGAGCTTCACCTCCAAAAGCGGCTGCGTTTTTCCTAGTGCTGAAACGCCCCCTGGTGTCTTAGGAAATTTTTTAAAACCATCCATAAGAAGAACATACCAGCTCAGCGCCTATGGCTCAAGTGGCTAAGGCGCCATACACCTAAGGTGGCGGTTCGAATCCTAGCCTGGGCCCGCCAAACAACACTGACGGCTGCAACCAAAAAATAGCCAGGCGTTATGACAGGCGCCTGTGGTCCCAGCTACTTGGGAGGCTGAGGCAGGAGACTCGCTTGAGCCCAGGAGTTGGAGGTTGCTGTGAGCGTGATGCCATGGCACTCTACCCAGGGGGATAGCTTGAGGCTCCGTCTCAAGAAAAAAAAAAATCACTGTTATCATGAAGAATCACAGGCTGGCTGATTGGATGAAAAAACAAACCAAGTATTATTTATTTATTTATTTTATTTATTTTTGAGACAGAGCCTCAAGCTATCGCCCTGGG